ACGCATGAATTAGCAAAAGAATGGCAATCACCTAGAGGACTCTCAATGGACAATATCATAGGTGACATCTCAAAAGGGGTAAGAACTAGAAATATGACTAATTTTTGTATGTCTGTAGCTTTTGTGTCACAGATTGAACCCAAAAACATTGAGGAAGCGCTTAAAGATGAACAATGGTGCATAGCCATGCAAGAAGAACTTAACCAATTTGAAAGGAATCAAGTCTGGGAATTAATCCCAAGAGAAGAGTCACATCAAGTAATTGGAACCAAATGGGTGTTTAGAAATAAACTTGATGAAGATGGGAACATAACAAAAAATAAAGCCAGACTTGTTGCCAAAGGCTATTGTCAGGAGGAAGGTATAGATTATGATGAAACTTATGCTCCTGTTGCCAGGTTAGAGGCTATACGCCTACTTCTTGCTTATGCATCTTTGATGAAATTTAAATTATATCAAATGGATGTTAAGAGTGCATTTTTGAATGGTTTTATTAAAGAAGAAGTTTATGTGGAGCAACCCCCTGGTTTTGAGGATTTTAGTTTTCCTAATCATGTTTTTAAATTAAAGAAAGCATTATATGGGTTGAAACAAGCTCCTAGATCTTGGTATGAAATGCTAAGTAGTTTCCTAACTTCAAATGATTTTTCTAGTGCAAAAATTGATTCTACGCTATTTATAAAGAAAGTAAAAGAACATATCTTATTGGTCCAGGTATATGTTGATGTATTATTTTTGGATCAACTGATAATACGTTATGTGTACAATTTGCTAAGATAATGCAAGGAGAGTTTGAAATGTCTATGATGGGAGAATTGACATTCTTCCTTGGACTTCAAATCAAGCAACTTAAAGATGGCATTTTCATCTCTCAAACCAAATACTGCAAAGAGATCCTTAAAAAGTTTGGAATGGACACCTCAAAGGAATCTAACACACCCATAGGAACTTCATGCTATTTAGACAAGGATGAATCAGGTTTGGAAGTTAATCAATCTATGTATAGAGGTATGATAGGTTCACTGTTATACTTAACTGCAAGTAGACCTAATATTATGCATTCTGTCTGTGTGTGTGCTAGATTTCAGGCTTGTCCAAAAGAATCTCACCTAATTGCAGTAAAACATATTTTAAAATATTTAAAAGGAACTACTGGTTTTGGTTTATGGTATCCTTCTGATGCTTGTACTAGTTTAATAGGATATTCTAATGCTGATTATGGTGGATGCAAAATTGATAGGAAAAGTACTAGTGGGACGTGTCATTTGTTAGGTTCATCCTTAGTATCTTGGCATTCTAAGAAATGGGCATGTGTTGCTTTATTTACCACTGAAGCTGAATATATTGCAGCTGGTAATTGTTGTGCTCAAATTCTGTGGATGAAACAACAGTTAGAAGATTATAGTATATTTTTAAATGACATACCTTTGATGTGTGATAATACGAGTGCAATTAATCTTACTAAGAATCCAGTAATGCACTCTAGGACTAAGCATATAGAGATTAGACATCACTTTTTGAGAGATCATATCAGCAAAGGTGATGAGTCATTATATTCCCATATTTTCTTCCCTTTCTGAACTTATTTTAATTAGTGTTTTGGGCTTAACTTTCTATTATTAGTGAATTTTTATTAATTGGGCTTCATTGGGCCAATAATTTAGATTTTAATTAATTTGAATCTATTTGATCTAATTTTTACTCATTATTAATTTTAGGACAGTTTAAAGCAATTTTGGACTTGAAAAATTGGGTCAAATGTCATATTTTATTTTATACGGGTACTGACATTAGTTTATTGTTTTATTTATCATTTTTTCTACAGATCTCCAAATAACATGATTCTAAAATAATTATAAACTAGACACATTGAGCTTTCAACAGGATCCAAAATCATTCAATTCGAAGCTAAATTGGATTTTACATAAATTATCCAAAACGGGTCAAGCGCACCAGGCCGGCCCAATGGACATGCTTCAGTAATTTAAGTCTTCTAAATTCATTAGAGCTCCGAAAATAGTAGAAACAGTGGCGTTTTAAAGCTAGCTCAAAAGACTTTCAAAGGAGACCAAAATTGCTTAATTTGGATAAGTATTGAAAATACTGCACGTGTTTGAAGTTCATGGACCTGCACTGAAGCCAATTTATGATGTGTTTCATGGACTAGTTGAGCCCAAACCTCACACTACAAGAATTTTACATATTAGTTATGACACATTCCATAGCTATTTTATAGCTAATCTCTCGCTGGTATGTTTTGCTACAGATTAGCTACGGAATAACTATGGAATAGTCCGCAGCTAAATCCAAGTAGCTAATTAGATACAAATGTATTCTCTCTCAAACTTGTAGCAAATTTTGTCGCTAAACTGTCACTAAATCTCTCGCTAATTTAAATGATGAAATTTTATTTATCTCTAGCTAATTTGATCTCCCAAAACTTGTAGTTAATCCGTAGCTAATCTCTCGCAATTTCGCTCTCACTAATCCGTAGCTAATCCCTAGCAATTTCGCTCTTGCTAATTCGTAGCTAATCTCTTGCAATTTTCTCTCGCTAATCCCTCACAATTTTACTCTCACTAATTCGTAGCTAATCTCTTGCAATTTTTCTCTCACTAATCCGTAGCTAATCCCTCGCAATTTTTCTCTCGCTAATCTGTAGCTAATCCCTGACAATTTATCTCTAGCTAATGTGGTTAATGCCTCACAATTATTTCCTCGCTAATCCATAGCTAATCCTTTGCAATGTTTCTCTCGCTATTTCATAACTAATCCCTCACAATTTTTATCAAAATTTATAACATCAAATATTTAAGATTTAAATTATCACTCATATTCTTAAAAAAAGAAGACAAACTTATCAACTTTCAATATAAAAGTATTGTTTAAACATAGTTAAAATGATGTTTCAAACAATTAAAACATAACAAAAATAATATTTCAACTAAAAAGTTCTATATAACATAACTAAAAATAGAAACAAAGTTTAAAGTACGTTTTCATCATTGTTTCTTTAAGACAGATAATAAATCTTTTTTGAAAGACTGCATTTCTTCTTGCATTTGTTGTTGCATGAGTGTTTGCATTTCGCTTGTGTCTTCATTTGTGATTGCATCAATGTTTGCATATCAGTTTGTGCCTGCAACTGTGCTTTCATCTGCTCTTGCAAACTAGATATCTGTGTAACTAAGGTAGTGATTTCTTCAATGAGAGGTGTGGTAAGATTTTGGGAAGAGGGACCTTCAACTGATGAAGATGAAACATGTGAAATACCAAGATCCAAACTCTGACCTATACCATAAATTCTACCTTTTTTATTTTCACCAGCAGTCTTTATCCAAATACCAGAATCAACTATAGGATGATTTGATGTATCTTCCCCATATTTTTCAGTCATATCATTTTCATATGATTCCTACATCAAATCAATATTTTAGCAATATTATAAATAAACAAAATTCAATATTTATAAAATATACACACTTACAATAAATTTTTTTGTTTTGTTAGACACATATTCACCATCTTTCTTTTTATGAACTTTGCTATATAATTCACCATAAGAAATAGGAAGTTTGTGCTCTTCTTCCTGTGAAATAATTTACAATTCAAGATTCACACATCAATATACCAACATCAAACCTAATATTCAATTTATAACTGGTAATCAATATTGATTAACAATTATATGATCAATGTATTAAATGTATAAAGTATGAATACCATTTTTGTGGAACAACAGTAAATTTTGTGATAAAAGAAGAGTTATCCAATAACCATACCCACATAATCAATTACCACACTTGTTTTCATAAAACAAGTTGTGAACTAGAGGGAATTAAATAAGATTCATTGATCTGACATGATTTTGCTACTCCTCAACCGTAGTGTTTAAAGTTTATGTCAAACAGTTAAGCAATCTATGTTCATCCTTTACCAAGACCACACCTTCAATCATTTTAATTTTTAAGCATTAATAAATAAAAAAGGGGAAGAAGACAATGCATCAATCACAACTAAATTGGAAATTTTGAGAGTTTGTGTGTGATTGAGTTCTCCCTTATATCACATTAAATGATATTTCATTGTTTATGTCTTGGGTTTTTTTTTTTATTATTTATTATTCAGTTTAAATATATAAATATATAAAATATTGTTTTATTACATGACTTTGAGTATCCAACAAAGTTCCAACATTGGCAAAAACAAAAGGTCCAAACAGGACCCAAGAGCCTGATAAAGTACGCATTTATCACTGATGAACCAAACCAGCACAAAATGTACTATTCAACCTAACTGTCTCCTTTGACAACGAGGGGCACGTTAAAGAAATCAACCAAATTAATATCTTTGTTGTTCTGGTGTTCTTTTATCATTATTCTCATGAACTAAAATTAATTTTGGTTTTTCTATTGTGATGACTGTAGTGTTTGTTCCAAGTTTTTCTAATTCAATTGTGGTCACATGCAATATGAATGAGCAATTTTTCTTTATTTAAAACACAAAACCAATGAATATGCAATAGTCAAAGAAGGAATAACTCAATTATTAATTTTATATTTAATGATATTCAAATTAAAAATATCAAAAATTAATTACACAATTTTAAAAACTTAATTTATTATTCTAGGCTCACAGAACTTTGGTTCCAAACCCTTTAATTGTTAGTGGAATACTTAAAATTAACTAAAAACTTCACTATGCTCCTTGATCATGAATAATATAAATAATTAAATGTGTCCACTGGCATGGTGTCTTTGATTTTTCTCTCTTATGTTTTTCCATGGAAGTTTCCTTAGTGGCTACAAAACACAGTGATGCAAAAATCCGAAACTAACACTACAGCATAGTGTGTGTGAGTGTTAGGATGCAGTGGGAAAAAACATAGCAGATCCACCCCACCCTCCAACGTTATTATTTTATCTTAATTTCTGGTTTTCGAGACATTATTTTGTGTTCATTAATAGTTGAATCTGGGATGCCCCAAACTCCTAGAACTGTTACTGTTTACAATTTTCATCTTTGCCCAATATCCATATCCACACACACTGCAAAGGGTTAAAAGAAAAAACCCACTTCTGAGAACATAGCAGGAACAAGAAGAACAAAGGAACTTCACTAGTGGTGGAAAAGCTAGTCATATTTTACTTTTTTTTTTCTGCTTTTTCTTTTCTGTTGTGCATGTCTGACTGATATAAGCTCATTTTCTTTGACTACAACATGCACAAACAGGGAACAAAGATTTGATGTATTACTTATAAATATGAAAAAACTACAGCAACACTCTCAAACATCATCAAAACTCGATAAAAAATTAAATCATATTTATAATAGACACAAAAGGAACCACACACCTTTCTTTCTATGGCAGGATAGAGGGAAAGAATTTGTTCTAGTGGTTTCAAAACCACAAGGCTAGAGATAGACAGAAGCTCAGATGGAAACTCAGCAACTACAGCTCTTGTGTGCAACAAAGTGAAGGATGAACAAAATCTGCTCTCATGAATCACCACACCAGCATTGGAGCTAGGAAATATCTGAAAAGGAAACTAAATAAAAAAATAAAAAAGGTACTGAAAACACTGTTGAGATTACAACACATGGCAATGATCAAAACATCTTGTGGGCTCATGTGTTAGGGACCATCCTTTGATCTTGAGTGGAATTCCAAAATCGTGGGCATTGCAACACTAGGCCCAAAACAAACCACGTAGGAAGAGAGGGACAGAGGACAATCACAAAAATGCAGTTAATCCAAAACTATACCGTGAGCGGCAGAGGCAACGGCGGCAGAGACAATCACAAAAATGTGTGCCAGGATTCCACCATCTAACATCAGTTTAGTTGTATGCCTACCTGTAGCACCAACCACGTTGTCATGGTCAGAACCAAACAAGTCGATGACTTATATGTAAATCTTGAAGGAGAATAGAAAACCAAATATGATTACTTGACATAATTATCAAGGAACAATCCAAGAATCATACAACCAAATTGTTGCCAGTAAATTCAGTGTCAAAATCCGGTTAAAACTGGAATCCTAGCAATCATAATATAAACCCAAAATTAATGAGTTTTGCATAGGCTTCAGTTTTAAAAGGAAACAACTAAAGAAATATAGTATCAACTAACGATTCCATGGATATAAATCCACAACGAACCAAATTCAGACTAAAAAGATATGTTTAATGGCATGGTTAAATGATAGAAACCTCACTAAAATTATAGAAAATACTGAGATTAGTTTTTATGTTCTATAACAGATTCCCACCTGTTCCTAACCCATCTCCCACTGTCTTAAAAAGTCATTACAAAGCTCTCTCCCCCCACCCCCAACCCCAACCCCTTTTCTCATGTATCCAAGTAGGAATATCCAAGTGCCCAATTCTCGGTTGTCCCTTCCCATTATCCTGGCTTGCACCCACATAATGCAGAGGTTCCAAACATATACTCATAATATAACATGCACTCATACATATAACAACTAACCTAATTTGCATAGGGATACAATATACACAAATATCAGAAAATAAATGTCATATTTCTGCATCATTAGCATAGATAAATGACCTAATTAGAAAGAGAATTATAGACACAAACCTCATTTTGTATCCTGTTCTGAAGAGATTCAACCAATTGATTCCTGTACTGGCAGCGGCACAGTAGGGCAGCGGCAATGGCGCGACAACAGGTAGCGGGAGCGACGACAATGGGAGCGGCGGCAGCGAAAACAAATGCACTTTAGATCTTAGTTGAAAATGAAAGAAGGAGACGTAGTTGGAGCGGGATGGAAATTTTGGCAAAAATAAATTAATTTAATATTTTTATTAAAAAAAAAAATAATTTTTTTAGTAATTATATTGAAGATGTTTATATTTAAAATAATATTTAATTAAATAAATATTTTAATATAATAATATTTTTATAAAGATTAATTTCTAAAAAAATTATTTATAAAATTTTCTATTAATTTAAATTATTAAATACTTCCTACCAATTTAAATTTATAAAAAATTTGCAGAAAATAATTTTAAATATTTATCAATTTTTTTAGATATTTTTTCAAAAAAAATTATAATTATTTTCAAATAATTTATATATATATATATAATATATTATAGTAAATTTGGTAAAAATAATTTTTAAATAATTTTATAATTATTTTTTTACTATAAATTTACTACAATTTAACTATAATTATATGTTATATAATTTAACTAAAAAATAGTTTCAAAAAATAACATAGTTAATATTTATAGCTAGGGATTAGTGATACAAAAAATTTTTAGCTAAATTATTTTTCTACTTAGTGAGGGAATAATTACAAAAATATTATTTTCTAGCTATTTTACTACAGATTAGCTATAACTTTATTTCTTCACTATTTCATAGCTAATTAACTACAAATTAGTGAAAAATAAATTTGGTAACCAATTTTTCTAGCTAATTATGAAATTTATTGTGGTGTCAATAAAGATTAGGGTTAGGGTTATTTATATAAGAGAGGCACATCACACATCAGAAGACACACATCACACAAGGACTACGCAGCCACCACACTTCCACCTTTCATCTTCTGCAATTTATATTCAAGTTTGTTTACTCTTTTGTCATTATTTTTAAATTCTTGTTTCGATTTTAATTATGTTTCTTCTATTGCGTTTTCAACTTTCCATGGATAGCTAAATCTTTGTATTGATTTTCTGAGAAGAATGCAAGTAGATCTTTGAGGTTTTGTTCTTCAATTTCATTTTGTTTGTTCTCTTAACTCATCATCTTCTAATCTTAGTGTTGAATTATAATCTGTTTATGCTTAATAAACCGAAACTAATATCACAGCTTGCTTAATTCTGTGTTAGAGATGAGATTATGTGATGTATGCAATGCTTAATTGTATAAGGATAATTTGGGGTTAATCTTCGCTTAGTTGGTTAATTTCATGTTGGAATAAGGGTTAAGGAAAATTTGGGATTAATCTTCGCTTAGTTGGTTAATTTCATATTGGAACAAGGGTTAAAGCTAATTTGAGATTAATCTTCACTTAGTTGATTAATTTCGAATTAGAATATAATTTGGGATTTATCTTCGCTTAGTTGGTTAATTTCGAATTAATTTCGTAATCTAGGATAAGTGACACTGCATTAGAATCAGGAAATCAATTACATTTTAATCTATTTTTAATCCGCATTTTTATAATCTTCTTTTGTTCTGTTTCATCTAATATTTTAATTTTGAAAAACTTTCTTTTTTTTGTTACTGTTCTAATTTTAAAATTGATAAACTTTGATAGAAATTCGTGGTCTTTGGGAGACGACCTAGGAAAGCTTCCTAGTACTACATTTATCTCGTTTTAATTATTTGACCGAAGTACGACATCGATCAAATTTGGCGCCGTTGCCTGGGACCAAAATTTTTGTCTAGGTTTTCAATTTTTATTTTCTCGTTTCTGTTTTCATTTTTTTTGTTTTTATTTTATTTTATTTAAATATTTTATTTGATTTTCAGTTATTTAGATATTTTATTTGATTTTCAGTTAATTGAATATTTTATTTGATTTTCAGTTATTTAAATATTTTATTTGATTGTTAGTTATTTAATATTTTATTTGATTTGGATATTTTATTTGATTGTTAGTTATTTAATATTCTATTTGATTTACTCGTTATTTGAATATTTTATTTGATTTGTTGTTATTTGGATATTTTATTTGATTTTTAGTTATTTAAATATTTTATTTGATTTGCTATTATTTAATATTTGATTTTCAGTTATTTGGATATTTTATTTGATTTTTAGTTATTTAAATATTTTATTTGATTTTTAGTTATTTAAATATTTTATTTGATTTTAAGTTATTTAATATTTGATTTTCAGTTATTTGGATATTTTATTTGATTTTCAGTTTTTTAAATATTTTATTTGATTTTTCTATTTAATTTAAAATTCTTACTTCTCTTAATACTATTTTGATAGTCCACTGTGTTCTAAAACTCTTTTGGGTTAAAAAAAATTATATTAAAAAAAATATATAAATAATAATTCAAAAAAAAAATTTCATCTCTAATTTGTTTTTCTAGCTTTATTTTTTTTTTAAAATTTATAATTTCCATTCTCATAGGAAACTCCGGATATAGCTTGGTAGTGTGAGAGTGCATGTCTAGGAGGGTTCTGGCTAGGAAAGATTTGGTAGTTAAGCGTGTCCATTAGTGACCCATGTAATATCCTAAATTTTGTAATCAATTATATAAATAAATTTTGTAAGTTATAAATATGTACCGAATATTATGTAGAGTTATTATAAAAATAAAACATGATTTTTATAGTAATTTTGTCTTAAGAAAATTATAAAATAAAATCCAAGGTTAATATTGTGTCAAATAATAAATTAATAATAATTCTTAATAATAAAAATTAAATAAATGAGTAAATAAATATTTAGAAAAAAAAAAAAAGAGAAGAAGAAGAAGAGAGAAACAGAAGGTCGGTGGTGGCCTAAATACATTTGAATTAAGTCAGTGAAGAATCAGAATTAAATTAAGGCGGTGGAGAATAAAGATAGCGAAGAAAATCCTAGAAAGAATTAAGTCGGTGAGTAAGTTTATAAATAGGAGGAAACTGGAAACATACACCAACACAATTCACGACCAACTTGAAGAATAAACCGAGAGACACCAGAATTCTTGGAAGAAGAATTCGAGAGAAAGGAGGAAAGGAGGAGCATACACAATTAGGAGAGTAATAAGATATTGAGGAATCAGGTATGGGGTAGACGTTTAGTTTTATTCATTCGAATGTTTGTAATTGGAAATTACTATTCATCAATTGCAAAGATTGAAATATTGTTGAAATTCTTTCAATTAAGAATGAATTATATAATAAAATTGTTGTTTTTAACTTAAATTGAACATATTTATGGTTTAATTTTGATTTGGAACAAATTTGAGTGATTGAAACTGAGAAATTTGAAACTTGGATTTCGAAAATGGCGAGCTGATGAAAATCTGCAAAACTCGCTCAAGCGAAAAATATGTCGCTTGAGCGAGGATACCTGGAAATTATGGGATCTCGGGTTCTTTATCGTTCAAGCGAAAATTACATCGCTTGAGCGACTAAGGGCCATGTCTCGCTCAAGCGACCGGTGTACTCGCTTGAGCGACGAAAGCTTCAAAAAAAAAAAAGGGGACTAAGGGTCATGTCTCACTCAAGCGACCGGTGTACTCGCTTGAGCGACGAAAGCTTCAAACAAAGGGGACTCTCGGGTCATGCCTCGCTCAAGCGACTGATGTACTCGCTTGAGCGACGAAAGCTTCAAACAAAGGGGACTCTCGGGTCATGCCTCGCTCAAGCGACTGATGTACTCGCTTGAGCGACGAAAGCTTCAAACAAAAGGGGACTCTCGGGTTCCATCTCGCTCAAGCGACCGGTATACTCGCTTGAGCGAGCGAAGGAAGAAGAAAGGACTAGGTGGGAATTTTTACAAAAGATCAAGGGTAAAATAGTCATTTCACATATTAGGGACATAAATGGAATTTTGAAAAAGGTTAAGGGTATAATCGAGATAAAGTCAAACAGTATATTACCCCCTCTTTGTTTACTAGGAAAAACGACTCAATAAATGTTAGAATTTGAGGATAGTGCCTTCATCAAAGTTATAGATTATTATCTTATCTTTCCAACACAATTGGAATCATCTTAAAATGAGGTCTAGAACTCAAGATATGGACAAAACACTGAACCCTATGAAATAAATTATTAATAAAAATTGTCTTGCTTAAAACAACTATGAATTGTAATTAAAATTTTGAATATATGAAGGAGATGTTTTTAAGTATTTAATTGATGATAGATTGTTTTGTTTCATACGAGACATAAACATAGTGCATGAAATGTTTTCTGGAAGTCACGAAAAGTTTTTACGAGAAAAGTATTTGGAAATTTCTCTTAAGTTGCTACCAAGGACGGTTGGTAGGAATAATGATGTGCAAAACAGAATTTTAAAATTTTTCCGTGAGTCAATTTACTATCAAGAGTATCTCGGTAGTGAAATATGACTATGAAAATGGTTGGCCAAATGAGACCGAGAATGAATTATTAAAAATTGAGCTACCGGAATCTCTCGATAGTAAATGGGGGAGTAGAATAGGTAAGACAGGACCTCCGGTCTATGGGGATGGACCTCCGGTCTAGGGAGTGTTTGGGCATGGGCAATTCCATAAGTGGCCAGTCTTTATTTGATTCTCGTGCCGTGGTAGCCTCGCCGGTGCACCGACACTCGACTACTCGTCTACTTGTTCGCGTTTAGTGGGACATTGCCGAATCACCGGACAGGGTGATGATAAGCTCTGGTTCCACTAGACACTCAATGAGTCTCCATGGAGCACTGAGTCAAAAATAAATTTTTAAATTTTGAGTCAAAAGCATGATTTT